AACGCTGATGAGATCTTTTTGGAACCATATGCCGGGGTCTCAGAGGAAAGCTTCCTTCCACTGGCGTAGGTAGGTGATGAGACTCACCTCAATGGTCCTTTTGGGACAAGAGTTCGAGTGCTGCTTCCTGCTGGCCCGTGAGATGCGACCGATGAAGTCTTCGTCACCCCAGCACATCCATATGCATGGGTTCAATGCAAAGCCCGTAGTGGCCAACTCATGCTGGATAGTCAACCTTACAGAGGCTAACATATATTGGAAAACCACGTGTCAACAAACGGTTAAACTGCCCCCCACGTATTCGAGTGGGTTTTCCAAAACGGCTTTAAAATAAACCTGGAAACAGGATGTGCCCTGCCATATGTAGCTTGGGTCTCATTCTGAACAAAGAGTAGCCATGGTTCGCCGTGAGGCTGCTGAGACATGCATAGGCTTCCTTTGTTGGATACTATGGAAAACAAATTGCCTTCTAAGCAGGGAGGGAATATTGGGGTGAGTAGTCCAATGACTTCAAACAACGATTTTGTCATAATTTGCAGGGAAAAATCGATCATTGCCCATCCTGAAGAAATGGCAGTTTCCGCTGCACCTGGCGGTAGGATCAGTCCTTGCCCATATATGGTTCTCCAGAAGACGCAACCAGCCTCATTCATGTATCTCATGACCTGCACCATTTGCAAGCGGCTGCATTCCTAAGCTGCCACACGTGAACGTGTGATGTGTTCACTCATGCATGTAAGCAGCCCTCCCTCAACATGATCATCCCTCAACATGATCCATGTCAAGGGGCCAATCCTGCAATGTTCACTGAGGCCAGCTCATGCTGGAGCCAAGCTCCCATCACCGCAGTGTCATGCCCCTTGCCACCACTAGTTGGGTATAGTCCAGCCCTTAGTGGGTCACACGACAACCAACTCCTACCACCAATAAGCCTGGACGCTCGATGGGTTTGGCATCCAGTTCAAAAAAACAAAAAGATATTCAATATCTATCGGGCATCCCCTTTGCAATCTTGAACTGCTTTTTACTAAATGCCGATATTGACGTGTGCTTGCTGTTGCTCTTGCACCACGTCGCAAACCGTTCGAAGGCATCTTCGAGCTTTTTGTCCATGGAACCCCTGGCCCCAAAGTGTCCCAAGTAGGCGAGCAGCACGACAACACTGGCATGTTCATCTTTCCCGTAGCCAATGTGATATGTGTGAACCGGGTCTGTTCTGATTCTGTGAGGTGAAGATCCACCAGCCAAATCAAAGACCGGGCTATGCATGTTGCGCTTGTATGGGGATGGGTTGTGGTAACCCGGTGCCAAGTTCCGCAAACGTCCCGATCGAGACATGTCCCACCATTCCTCGGAGCTTGTCGGTGTGACTATAACAGGACTATAAACAACCCCATGGTCAAGTTTTTCCGTACCAAAAGTCAAAGTGTGCTATATATATATATATAGACATGCTGCGACGGAATCACATAGATGGCACTTTCGAAGTGCTTGGAAACCGCTTTGGAGTTTACAGATCTTTCGCAAGAATGGCCAGTCTCCTTTCATCCCGCAGTAGACAGGCCTGATGTTCAGGATCTTCCCACCAATGTTCACCTGAGCTGGCGTCACTCCCCATCGCTTAGGAGTATGCTTTACGCGGTTCAAATTAATATACAAAAATATCAAAATATATGTTATAAGCTAAAGCCAAGGACAGTGAACCCATCCCTGTACAAGGCATTGAAATCTTTCACCAGGGCATCCATGAGGGTATCTATGGTTTTGTCGTTCTTCGCATACATGGCTGAAGGCAAAGCTGCATATAGGAGCCGTGTGCAATAGGTCACCCTTGTCAGGGGTCAGAGGTGAAGAATGGTGGAGAAGTGTAAGTGGGATTAGGTGGGCCAAGATGCATCCCCAACAGACCATGCAGTTGAAAACCTTTTGGACTTTTGCCGTACACCAGACCCTTTCAAATTGGACTTTCCATCGCAGTTGGTGATGAGGGGCTGGAACGAAAAAAATCATGATGGGCTGCTTGTATCTCCCCCTCCCTTCATCTCCATGAAGTGCCATTGGCAGGCTGGTCCCATAGAACTCCTCCCCGAAGTCCAGGAAAAAAGGGTAAATCAGGGTCAAGTCGTTTGTATGACTTCCACCAGTCAACCAGGATTTGGGAGAAATCATTCATATGTTCCACGTCCTTCCCTCCTAGAAAAAAATGGCCGCCCAGGTCGAAAGAAGCCCTCATCCAAGATGACAAAGGCAGCGTCGGGAAATCGCAGTCAACTTCATGAACCTTTGCCTTGGTAATCTTCCGAATGGGGGCCCTGACAAACTTCACTTCAACAGGAAGTCGTTTCCCAGTTTTGCCAGCGAAGCCATGCAAGCGACGGCAACTGTTGCCACCCAAGTTGGCTCCCTTTCTCGTGGCTAGCATTGACAGCTCACGGTCTTCGACTCCTAGGTTGCCATTCAACTTAACCATGGGAATCATGTCTTATGAACTGATGACTTCAAAACCCATTTGAACAGCTCACCGGGTGTGACCATTTTTTCAACCTGTTTGGCGGTTTTGCTGTTGGGATCGCAGCCAAAGATCCGTGTTTCTTCATCTTGCGGGAAAACATGCCAGCCAGCTTGGTGGCCCGGTATGCAGGAACCGAGCCTACCTCTACGCTTTGCAGAAGCTCTCCGGCAATGTCCTCATCGCTGTCATCGCTGGAACCTCGGCCACGGAGCGACCAATAGATCAAAGGGGATTGCACAGGGTATAGTGAAGGGATTGGGATTGGGACGGAAAAAGAGGCTAGTCTAGCATTCTTGTTGCAAAGAGTTTTTTTCAACAATACCTCCACATTTCAGCACACGCCACACAGACTTGGCAACCAAGAAACCGGAGGGATCATCGGAATCGCTTTCACCTGCCAGCTAGTGCATGCAGTGAAGCGGGGTCAGGCTAGGCCCGGGTTCCTCATGGTTTCCCAAATGGTTTGTGGAAGCTTGAAAGTACTAGCAATCCGCTTTCTTAAGAGCTCAGCTTCTTAAGTAGCACTTGATCAACCCGGACCCAGCAAAGCCCCAGCCCTTTTCCCCACTTTCCATGGCGTCAAAAATCAGCGAAACAATCGCTTGCACATGTGTGGCCGCTGAAAAGCCTCCAAAGCATTTCAATCATTCTGGCTAGTGCTCCATTTAAATGGAAATAGGCTAAATCAGTCTATGCCACCGGTATGTGCTCAAAAAGCCATCTTCGAGGCATGAACACCTAAGTATCCTTTTCACTGGGCTGTTTCTTGCCCTTAGCTTTAGTCTTGGCCTTTGCCTTGGGCCTTTTTTTTGGATGCAGCTTTCGATGACGCTCCACCCAAAGATCCCTTAGGCTTCTTGATTTGCCTTAGTATTGAAAAGGGCACGGGTCCAAAGGAGTATGTGTGTGTGTGCCTTCTTTCATAGGCCAACTCAAATAAGTCTATGGCTTGGAGCGTGTGACGAAATTGTTCAGTGTGACGTCAAGTTTTGTGCAGGAAGCGAAGAGATTCTGCAGCTCGCTCTCAAAGTTCCTACTAGCGCTACCAGGCACACGGCTGGGAGATATGGGATAGGAAGAAACAAAAGCAGACGGTATGTTGAACCTGGCCTCGACACATCAACGAGAAGTTCCCCTTGGATTTCCATCATCCTTTTGTTGGTTTTCTTCTTCTGCTCTATCACCGTCTCAATCTGGGAAACCAACCTGGTGGAAGGCAAATGCATGCACATGCATGGATGTCCATTTTCATGATCTCTATATATCTCTATATGTTGTTTTGGTTGACTTGCAGCTAACAAGCTCCGTGGCACGAGCCGTGTTGACAGCGTGCAAGGTGTCCTTGGCGTCCAGGTCTATAAAGAAGCATGTGTCCCAACCATCTTACTGCACGATTGAACGCTTGTATGACAGCAAGCCAACTAATTTAGTTTTTTGTAAATATGAGATTCTATCACCTTCTGTGTGTTGTCGATCTTGCGGGAACATACATCCACGAAGCCACCCAGCAACTCTGCATGTGACGTGTTCTGTTTCAAACTTGGATAGCACAACCTCAGAAGCGCAAAGACCCACCACATTTGATATGAAACAAGCATGCCGTCAACTTGACCCTTGCATGATGATATGGCTAAACGTTCATTAAGAAACTTGAAAGATGATCCATCAGCCCTGACAGAATCATTCTTCACGTCGGTTTGACCTCCATAAGACCTGCTCACGGCCAAATTGACAAGGTCGCTGGAACTTGCTGACATCGATGGAACGAAGTCTCCGTCGAGCAAGGCACCGTCTGGGTCCTTCCGGGTGTGATGCGCGAGCGTGGCCGGTGGTTGGGATATGTTGGGATATATGGGAGTGTCCCTCAATGGAAAACATGTCTGTGGGTGCTGAAATAGAACGGTGAGTTGACTACCCAAGTCCTCCAAGGTAAAATCACCACTCTGAGTCATACGTTGACCATTCTCCGCTTCGGAACAAGAACTCATCATCCAAAACAAAGCAAATTTCTTCTTCTTGGTGAACTGGGTTTTTGCGCTTCTTGTGGTGCTTCTCTGCCCATTCCCAAGCGTTGTCAATCATACGCCTTGAGTAGTTCCATGGTTTATTGAACCACCCACTATTCAAAACATATGAAGCGAAGAAACCAGACACATGCATGCATAGCTTAAGCACTTTGTCCAGTGACGTTCCCCTGCCAGCCATGCTTTGGTATACCACCCACCTTTCTTGTCAAAACGGGCCTTCCTTTCATGCCATTTCTTGAGTGCTACCTCCACCTTGGCAAAATTTCCATGGCGGTTCAAAAGCTCCGCCAATTTCTCACCTGAGATGTTATGTATCCATACAAGATGGGTTGATGTGGTTCTTAGTTCCACTGATTGGCAAGACAAATAGGCCAAGGTGCATCCACCCTTGGATTGGTACATCTCAAGAGCCTCCTTCGTGCACTTGAGGGATCCATCGTGTTTGGTCTGCTGAAAGTACCGGTACATCCTGAGCCAACAGCTGAAGCACGTTTACATTGCAAATTCGACAGGTGCAACCAAAACACTTCCAGTAGTGGGGATGCTTGGCATTCCATGGTTGCAGAACAGTTGGTGCGGGTTTAATTGGCTCTGGCGAGGGTTTGTTGGATTCCAACTCACGACTGTCCATGGCAGGAGCGGGCGGCGGTGGTGGTGTGATCTCATCTGGAGGAGGCAAGGGGGGTGGTGCCTCTGGAGAAGGAACGGGGGTACCAGCACCAAACAGGTCTTGTCCCTGGGACTCCAGACCCAACTGGTTGTCTGGATGTTCAGCCATGTCCGATGATGTAGTCACAACTGTCAATGGTGATTCAATAATTACAGTTGGGGCTGGATGCGACTTTAGATCACAGGCTGCTGTACCAGCTGCAAATTCTCCTTCTTGACGAGCAATGTAGGGAGCACCTATAGGACATGAGAAAAAACATGGAACCTCCATGGCCTCCACAACCTAATTGCACTGGCCTCCAACCTGATAGCGATGGACTGCGCACGCCCGCTCCAAACCCCAGAAAAGCTTCTGATTGCGCGCGTTCACTGCGCGGAGTTACGATGTTTCGGAGCTTTAACATGTCGGATCATGTCAGAGACAATCACTCCCACCACAAGCCTGCGGGATGGTCCTCCGGGATCTTCATAGGCTGGTCTTTCTGTAGAATGGCCAAGCGATGCTGAGCAGCTGCAAGTCGTTCCTGGGATGCCTTGGGGCATCAAACAAGTTCCCTCTACTGCATGTAAGCTTTGCTCCACAAGACCCCCAATAAGTACCAACCAATTGAAGCTAGAGTACTTTAATCATTGCATCCACGTCAGACGGCGGTTCACAATGTTCCCCATGCTCGACCATTTCAATCCCACTGCCCAAAGTATTGCACGAGTGCAACCCACTATACTCTAAAGTATGTGCAGACATCCCTTCACGTCACAGCTATTGAGCCTGCAAAGATATACAAGATCTGACATGAAACATATATGCAGTAAAGCCGTGAAACATGTGGATAGATCTCAATGCTTTTGTTTGCCCTACCACTCGTTTATCAAGTGGCGCCAGCATCATCAAAAGGGAAAGATGCAGATGGGTACAGCGATGGCCCCAAAATGCAGTGATATTATGTTACAAAATCCAAAATTGGGCATGAAAAAGTTAGAGTTCGTACACTTTTTGAATTTGCGCTCCGTTTGCGGGGATTTGCGCTCCGTTTGCGGGAATTTGCGCTCCGTTTGCGGGTAGTCCTGATGGCTGAATTTGGAGTTAGTGGGTCCTCTAGATGCTTTTTCTGGGGCCAGCCTATCCCACAGCATCCTTCCAGGAAAGCTAGCCCACTTTGTGGACTTTCATGGAATTAAATGCAATCCTGGCTATCAGGGCTAGCATCCAACCTCCTGACCTGGACAGGGGATAAGGACATATAGATAGTGGAGCCACATACTAGCCCACCCAACCTCGGCTGAAAGATCTTTCCGGAAATCTTGCATGGTTGTCATCCATGAATCCGGAATCCTGCAGTAACGTTTGGCAAAGGGAGCAGATCGGAATAAATGTAACAATCGATCTCACATATGGGGCCAAATTCCTGTCCTTAGGTATTTGCTGGTATAAAGGTACTCGAAAGCTTCATGGCATTTCGACTCATACCAAATATCTCCCATGGGTAGCTCAGAGAAGATCTGCCGGTCGCTCTTGTCGAGAGCTACCTTGGGACGGGCCCGCAGGTCCAACCTGCTGAGTGGCCTCCCAACCTCGTAGGCTTCGAGAAGACGCTTTCCAAAAGCTCTCGTGTAGGACCTGCCGGGGACAGAAGGGATGGATTGTTTGGGTGGGATGAGGCCCTGGGGTCCTGGCTGTGTTGACTTCAAATTGGAGTTTCCCTGAAAACGCTGGACACCTTCTCGATCAATATATTTACCTAGCGCACAATTAGATAGACAGCGAGATTAAACATATTCCAATCATATCAATCATCGGCGGTCTCCATTTGTCAAGGTGCGTGTGGTTTCAACACGGTCTACTGCATCTTTTTGAGCTTTCGTTAGAGGCCCCATGTTTAACATTGAAATCGTTGGCATGTTGGAAAGCATCAGCGAAGGCTTCGGCGAGGGCTTGTCAAAGTGCATCATATGGAAATGGCACTCGTACACCTAAGCTCTGGAGAACTACCAAGTTGCTGGTGTCCCACAACACTGGAAGTATTTGTAAATCCTTGGACATCCATTGTGGTGGTCAAAAGCTGAGGGGCATAGGCCACTCGATTGACCAACCATTCCATCCGTTTATGTCTCGGTGCAAGGCTCAACAGTGGCTGCTCCACTCCAAAGATCAGATTTCTGGCCAAAATGAGAAGAATAATCAGCACACACCTGAGTGTCACATGGTAGACACCGGGTCGCCTTGAGGAGTGTAAAGGGAAACCGGGAAACCAATGGCTGTTTGAATTAATGGATAGATCCCAAATGGGAATGTTCAAGAAAGCTTACCCCTCCTCGCAGTCGAAAGACTTACTCATCATCCGATTTCCCAATTCCACACTTCTGTAGCGTTGGTGTCCCATTGGGTTGATGTATGACCGCAACGTGCTGCCTCTAGAGACAGCGCTCCAGGAACCACACACAGGGGCTAGCATATTGAATGCATCAGCCACTTCGTTCATGACCACCCAGAGGCATGTCCTAAGTTTGTCCCCGGAAAAGGCAGCTTGGATCGTGAATGTTCAAACCCACAGCGTTGATGTGCACTTTGCATTGCGCATGCATACTTATTTACATATAAGCCACACGAAGCCCCCAGCACGGTCAACGTCCATGGACTCTGAGTATTCCAAGTCAAACTTGCAGCACCTGTAGCCTTGATCAGACCTCGGAAACG